GGCATTTCGCAAGATTTGCACCATCTAGGTGTTGGCGGTAACACCTTTTCGAACTTGGTCAAAAATATTTTCCAAGCGCTTTCTGTCAGTTTATAATATTCACGGCTAACTAGCCAAGGAAAACAACAACATTAGCGCGAGGTTAATATTTTGCTTACAGATACTCAGCTAATAAAGAATTGACTACCCAAGTAAGACAATTTTTTATGCATGTATATATTTTTATGTCTTTTTCTTTTATATATTTTCTACACTCCGAATTTTCCACACTCCTCATTTTCCACACTCCTCATTTTCCACACTCTCCGTTTTCCTCACTCCGTATTTTCTATACTCCGCATCCGCAAACCACGTTTTCCACCTAACCCCTCTACCACAACAATTTCATTTCCGACCACTTTTCGGTATATTGACAGAAATAAACCAAATTTTGGCTCCTGTGTGGTATAAATCAATACAGTGTCGGTAAAAGGGTAGGATATTTATCTGGCTCCGCGGCTCGGGAAATATCCACAACAATTCACCTCCCCTTCGGTTAATAATTGTTTATTACATATCCCGAGGTATATGGCATCGAATAATTTGACCTGCATCTGGTTTTCACTCCCTGTTAGTGAATACGGTGCAGGTAGAATCAGTGTAATGTTCGATATATTCACGAATCGATACCATATTTTTGTGATAAGGCGATGCAAGGCGGGTAAACAGATAGCAACTGTTGAAGAAGAAAATATAAACTTGCCTGTTGATAAAGTTGTACTGGGGAATACTAAAAAATGGAATATGTAACACGGTTAAGGTTTTCGACGGTGAAGAGGTTAGTGCTACGAAAATCTTCATAAGGCTTATTTGCTGTAAAGATCCGAGCGTATGCCTAAAAAGTTGAGACTATCTTCAACTACGTAGTGATCACATTCTGTTATCCAAGTACGTTGTACTGTAAAAAAAAGCTAAGCTTGCATGCGTCGTTTCAAAGGAAAACATGTAAAATAAAGCAGTTGGAGAATAAGTAACTTATTAAACACTTTGGTATGTAGTATAACCTGCAGAGCAGGCGTAATTTGGGAGAGCGAGTACGCAGTATTTCCTTCGCGAAAAATGACCGCCATCTTTGATTTTAATGGCCGCGGAAGGCCGCGGAGATAAGGTAATTTGTACCATGGGAGTGACCGACGGTCAAAAATAAGGAGAGGGGTTGGGGTGGGGGAGTGAATATTGCTCCACCCCCTTCCCCCACCGTCCACTCTGACTCCAAATCAAACAAGGCGTTCGGATCTACGATCACGAGCTTATAACGTTAACTCGCCCTAATATGACGCGTGCACCTCAGACAAGTGTGTAGTCAGTCACTGAGTATTTATACGAGCTGCACCGTAATTTGACGGGCCCGTAAGGTGAGTCAAAATACAAACAACTCGTAAAAATACCCGGCGATGCTACATCTCACATCGTTAAATAAGATACATTAACAGCCAGCTCGCATTATTATTATTATTATTATTATTATTATTATTATGATTTTAAACTGACAGTCTACACAAACTAAAAAAATATGTGGAAGGACATAAGTTTTGAAGAGCAATGAAAAAGCCCTATATTACAGTACGTCTTCAACTGCGCCCCAACTGCAAATGACAGTGCATCTTCTAGATAGAAATGTTATATACTTCCCCTGAGATGTTCCAGGTATCTGATTGTTTGGCACTCTCGGAGTCTGAATGACATGCGCGTTTGCTATTAAAGTGAAGAAAAGAGAAGTAAGTGCACAGTAGGTTTACTCCTTATACCACATGGAGAGAAGTGTTGGGCGATGTTAAATTGGTCTCCGCTTTCAGATTGGAAGGTTTCATGTATCACCAAGGCAGCTGCTGAATAGATACTGGAAGGAAAGATAAATTTTATTTCATTTCAATACAGAGAATTGCTTTTAACCCAACTAGTGAGCATTCTAGCGAAGTGAGCTTGAATATCGAAGGGCGCACACAAAGGGAAAATAACAGAGACAAGAAAACGGTTAATTTGGATATATCAACAAAGTTGAAATGGTAAATTGGCCACCGTAACGATTACAAAAGCTGACGTTTCGAGCGTTAGCCCTTCGTCGGAGCGAATAGAGGAATTGTGGGTTGTGTGTGCTTTTAAAGGCAGAAAATGGAGCTCCTTTATTGGTGGGAACATAGCAACGAGAAAAACGAGTGTAAATTAGTGGAATGAAAAGCGTTCGTTGATCCCTGTGGGATTTAGACTGCCGATTTGAAAGACGAGCTTTTGTTCAAGATTTTTACGGCAAGAAAATAGTTAGTTTGCAACAGCCTAATTAAAAGGAAAAGATTATCCTTGGAAAGGAAAACGCTGGAGACGGAAACTAACCAACTAACTAACTAACTATTAAATTGTGTTTGCATCATTTGTCCCAAGTAATTTTGTCAAGAAAACCTATTTTCGCGTCGACAAACGGCTGGTTGGTCTATCGAGGCCCTGGTTAATTTGCGTGCTTGGGGTAGG